AGGTGTGTGTGTGTGTGTGTGTGTGTGTGTGTGTGTGTGTGTGTGTGTGTGTGTGTGGTTTGCGTGTCCTTTTGAATTTGCTTTTCTGTACCTGTGCATTTGTGTGTTTCTGTGCCTGTGAATTTGTGTGTTTCTGTGCCTGTGAATTTGTTTTCATGTGCCTGTGTTTCGGTGTGCTTGCTTGAGTTTGTTCATGTGCTTGCATATTTTCGTCGTCGCTCATTGCAGTGCGGCCCTCGCATGACTTGTACGACAATTTACGCTCTGCTTGCTGAAACCAGGTGCATCCAACAACGACAGAGTGTCGATGTGATGGCCAAGGCATACCTGCTCCTCGCAGGCCTGCAGCGCGTTCGCCCACAAACACTGGAGCAGTCATGCACGCCTTCTGCCCTCGGCATTCGCCCGCATTCCCCGCTGGAGGCAGTACTGTCAGATATTGATCAAACGCACACCTCGCACACCATCAAGGAGCAGTGGCCGCAAGAATCCGTCGAGTATCTGCAACAGGTGCTTGCATTCTGCCACGTGTGTGTGTCTGTCTGTCTGTGTGTGTGTGTGTGTGTGTGTGTGTGTGTGTGTGGCTTTTGTCCGTTTGTTCGTTCGTCTCTCTGTGTCTGGTGATGAGTATCGCTGGCCGGATGCTGTGTATTGTTTTTTCATGCAGCTGATGTTTTCATCCCTGCCCTCTTGCTTTCTACACTCTCCCTCACATGCTCAACATACAAAAACACACATAACACAACTCGCACACAACACGTCCAACATGGCATGACACAACGCAGTGTTCTGCGGTGTTTGTTGGCGAGGTGCGGGAGTGGATACCGGAGTACATTGGCCGACTGCACACGCTCCTGTCGCTGGTCTCGCGTCGCAACCACCCGTCGAGCGCACAGGCCAAGGAGCTGCGGGAGTTGTTTGACCTGTACAAGCTCGCCGTCACGTACTTGCACAGCACCGTCATCCTGCGGGCGCTGCCGTCCTCGGCGCTCTACATTGACTGCCTGCGCGTGCTGCGCTGCGTTGCGTTCACCATGGATGGCACGACGAGCCTGGACGAAGTGGCGGAAGACGCGGGCCAGGTCCTGTTCACCGAAACCGCGGTGGCCCTGCTGCAGCTGACGCAGCACGCGGACACACAGGAGCTGCTGGAGGCGTGGACAGAGATGATACACGGCGTCGGCAGCTATCGTGCGGTGCAGAACGAGGAGATGAAGCAGACCGTGCTGCATGTGTACACGGCAGCGTCACAGCATGTGCATGCCAACGCCAACTGGTCGCACACCCGGGAGGTCATGCGAACAGCGAGCGCAGACCTCCAGGACCTGCTGGCCCTCGTCACGCAGGTGCTGGAGAGCGAATCCGCCTCCTCGGTGCCGTGCTTCCACGTGCTGTGCGACCTGTGGGACGCTTTTCCGGACACGATGGCCTCCTTTTGTGCAACAATGCCGGAGATGGTGGAGGAGTCCATGTCCAGTTACCAGCCGCTGGTGGATGTCATGCCAAGTGCTGACCTCGCCTCGGACCAGATGTGCAACACGGAGCATGACCTGGACTCTGCATTTGTCATGCGCCACGCTGCGTACGTGATCTCGTGCATCCCGCACTTGGCGGATGGCCCGCTTGCGCTTCGCTATCTTGCCAAGCAGCGTCTCGTATCAAAGGCAGTCGCTACTTTGATCGCAAGCATTCTGGTACGAGCGCAGTTGTGTGTGTGTGTGTGTGTGTGCGCATGTGTGCGTGTGTGTGTGTATGTGTGTGTGCGCTGTGTTGTTTTGTGCCATGTTGTATTGTGTGCGCGTGTGGTTGTGTGTGTATGGATGTGCGTGTGTGTGTACGTGTGTATGTATGTGTGTGTGTGTGTGTGTGTGTGTTTGTAAATGTGAGTGAGGAGGACGGGCATGGTGGCAGTTCGACGAGTTGCGCGGTTGTTGTGGTTGAGGTTGCGCGAGTTGTCTTCCTTCTCAGGCTAACATTTGAGACAACCGTTGCCTGGTTGCGTCTGGTTTTTTCGTGTAGGCGCTGAGCAAACGCGATACGCGCGTTGCTGAGGAAGCAGATGTTGCCATCTTCTCCTTGCGAGTATCCATGTGCTCGCTTCTACTGCTCCTGCAGTACGTGCTGCAACGAAGGTGAGCTCAACGTGCGTGCGTGTGTGTGTGTATGTGTGTGTGTGTGAGTGCGTGCGTGTGCGTGTGTCTCCGTATCTTTCTGCCTACCTGCCTGTCTGTGTCTGTGAATCTATGCTACTCGCTGCTTGTGCGTGCATTTCCTGTTTGGCCACCCATTTCATTCACCTGAGCGAAATTGGTTGTCCACTTGTGAATGTGGTGCAATGTAGCGACGAATGCGCCGGTTTATTGCCGCTCTTCTCGCCCATCTCGGCACTCTTGCACCGCCTGCTCAATGCCGTACCCAAAGCAATGCTGCCGATGGTATGCACCCCCTTGCCGCATTTAACTCTGCTCGCGTGTGATGAAGGATGGATGGATGGATGGATGGAATGTGTGTATGTCTGCTTGTTTGTTTGTTTGTTTGTTTGTTTGTCTCTCTGTCTGTCTGTGTCTGTTTTGTCTGTCCGTCTGTCTGTGTCTGTTTTGTCTCTCTGTCTGTCTGTCTGGTTGTTTGTTTGTCTGTCTGTTCGTTTGTTTTGTTTTTTCTTGTTTTGTCTGTTTTGTTTGTCTGTCTGTTCGTTTTGTCTGTGTTTGCTTGTTTGTTTGTCTGGGTGCGTTGTTGCCTCTCTGAGCGTGGCTGCTCGCCACCTTGGTCTTTCCTTCCGCGTGTGCTCGTGCGTTCTGTACATGCGTCCATGGCACAATCGTCGCCTGCGCAAGGCGTGAGCTCCCCAACTCAGCTGGTGCACCCCAATCACATGATCATGCACTCACAACACCCCATACGTCGTTTGTTTTCTTGTCATGGCGTGCAGCTTCGACCGATCCAGGCGTTCATTCGTGTGTTTGCTGCCACGGTGCCAGACGCGGAAGCCCGCGCCGCAATGCTCCAGCAAGTCGGTGGATGAGCCCACGACACTGTGCCTCCTGTGTATACTGGCACTGTACACCGTTGCTGATTTTGCTGTTGTTCCCCCCCCCCCCTTGCTGGCATTGATGCATGAGACATGTCGTTACTTTGCATTCACGTCACATCATGCCATTAAACGCGACATCAAGTCTGCGATGAGATTAATGTGAGGAAGCAGCTGCCAACACACACGCGCCCACTGCCGCCTGTGTTCTGATTCCATTGTTTGTTTGCTTGTTGTGTTGTTTACTTGCGTGCCTTCAACGTGCACAAGAGCAGGGAGTAATGTCTGCTGCCAAGCAGCAGCTTAGACCCACCGATTCAAACGACAGACGTAATTCCGTGATGTCATGCATGAACACCGTCAAACAATACAGCCCTAACCCTGACCTACTTCGACTATGAATGCAATTGCAGATACAAAACCCAAAGAGAAGAAGAAAACAACACAGAGCTCTCAGAGCACCATCACTTCGCCATCATCATAAACAACTCCACCCCTCACCATAACCATCCTGATCAGACCCTCAAGGCGCAATGTGTAGAAGACGCCGGCACAGCACCACGATGTCGTTCAGGGCTGAGAATTGCTGCATGGTCATGGTTGCCACGTCCCGAAGCTGCGCACGTACGACGTGAATGTTTGCGGGTGTACTGTTGCTGCGTCGGGGCGTATCTTGATCGTGCTCGGTATCGTGCTGCAGCGACAACTGAGGCTGCAGGCTGAGCAAAGCGCGCAAGCCCATCTCCTGCATCACAGCATCGAGGCGGTGATTGCTCATGGCATCCATCACCGCTGCCGTTGTGGTGCACGTCCACTCCACGCTCAGCACCTCCGCAATGGCCGTGCTGGCCTTGTGGCTGATTAGCTCGCCCCTATGGCGGCCGTGGCGGGGTTGGCATCGGCGTTGCTGCTGCCGCTCGTGCACGCGACGCGCTCCTTCCACAATGCTGGCCAGACAGTTGCACACGACACCCACAACGTGTGCGTCGTTGCCATGGTACTCCAAGGCCTCAAGCATGAGCGCTGGGCCGCGCGTGGTGACAATCTCGCAGAGTCCCTGGTCTTGGAAGCGCGCCATGGTGGACAGGACCGCACAGCCAGCGGCCTGCACGTAGATGTTCAGCGGGTGTTCATTCAGGGCCATGGTGACGGCGGAGACACCCGCATTCTGCAGCACACGCTGTCGCACCTGCTTGTCGGCCCGCACCATCACCTCCAGCATCTGACACGCGTACTTCTGCACGCCGCTGTCGTCCTGATGCTGCCACATTGCCAGCAGCACCACCGATGGCACCACCATGAAGAACGCGCGCAGGTCTCGCTCCTCCTCGTCTTCGTCTTCGTCTTCGTCTTCGTGGTGGTGGTTGCTGGTGGCGTCGTTGTCCATGTCGACATCTTCGTCGCGGTCGTCATCACCGTCGTCGTCACTGAAGCAGAGGTTGGCCAGGTGTTTGAAGACGTAGCAACCGAGGCGCTGCAGGGTGCGGTTGCTGCCGTGGGCCCGCATGGCGGCCATGATGCTGTAGCGGCCCTTGCGGTCCCTGCAGACACACGCAGACACTTCCGCTGGCTGCTCATGCAAGTATGTGATGAGGGAGGCAAGTCCTTGCACATAGCGCCTGGGGTCGTTGATGTTGCGGCTCAGGTAGCCCAGGATTGGCTCAACGGTTGCCTTCACCGCAGCGCGCGTGTCCTTGTCTATGCTGCTCGTGTCATGTTCGTCGTTGCTGTCATCGTTGGTGTCGTCGTTGTTTCCAGCGTTGTTGTGCTTGCTGGCGTTGCCGCTGTTGCCGTTGCCATCGCTGTTGTCAAGTTTGTTCTTGACAGCGCCGTCGTTGTGGTTGCTGCTGTCGTTGCTGCCGTTGCCGCTGTCGTCGTTGTCACTGTTGTCGAGCTCTGGCGGCTGGATGAAGACGGATGGATGTGGGGGAACCGCATCTGAGAGGCTGCGTGCCCGCCCGCGACGCCGAGCTGAAGTTGAGGCATCACCAGCTGGCTGCTGCTGTGGCTGCTGCTGCTGCGTGTTGCGTGGCGAGCGTTCCGCGTGATTCGAACACTCACAACCCCCATCGTAGCAATTGTCGTCGTTGCCATTGCCACACTGTTCGTCGTCGGATAGCAGGGTTTCGTTGCTGCTGTCGCTATCGCCACTTCTTCTAGCCAGGGATGGTCCCACCAAGCCTTCCTCGAGGCTGACAGTTCGCCTCAGGGCTAGCGTGAAGATCCCTTCCTCCGGAATCGTCGTGAGCGCTTCGTGCGATCCAGCAGGTGACATGGAGGCCGAGGGTGCCTGCGGTGGTGGTCTGGGCACAGAGGCGGAGCGACCACGTCGAAGTCGGCGTTGCTGTGGTGGCGTCATTGCCGGCGATTGAGTGTGTGACACTGGTGCTGTTACTGAGAGGTGGTGGTGGTAGTCATGGTGGTGTTGGTGATGTTGGTGGGGTTGGTACAGTGCCGGGCTGGGCGACTGTGGCCCCGTCCATGGGCGCTGGGAGAGAGCGCTCACGTGAGCGGTGCTGTCGATCGTAGGTGGCACAACAAGCTCATGCGTGAGGGGTGGTTGATAGTGCTGTGGCTGCCAGTGATCTTGTGGTGGTGGTGGTGAGTGGGGGCGTGCGACCAGCTCGCGGATGGTCTGAATGAGACCCTCTGGTGGCGTGTTGCGTGCTTCTGGGTCAGCTGCTTCCAGCCACAAGAAGGAGTGGTGCTCGGTCTGGGCGAGGAGCGCCTCTGTTGCTGTGTCGCGGAAGCTGGTGCACATGTGCACGAGGCACGTGTGCTTATTTGCCTTTTCCTTGAGGATGAAGCGCAGCTCCTCGTGTGAGCTGAACCGCTCTGCAGAGCGGTGCCCGTACAGCTCGGAGCCGAGCATGATGATGACGTCGACGTTCTTGATGATGCTGCATGCTGCGTGGATGGCCTCGTGGCTGTTGCGGTGGGCGAGTGGCGGGCTCATGAACACGGCGTCGCACACCTGTTCGTCGCGCAGGCGCCGTTGCAGCGCACGCGCCTGCGCACCGGCGTCCGATGCCTCAAACGAGATGAACACCGCTGTGGGCGTCGAATTGTGTTGCTGCGTGCTGCGTAGCATGGCGTTGTCAGCGCAGCAGAGCGGCAGAGTGGGATGTGTGAAGGGGCGGGGTGAGAAGGAGAGGCGGATGGGTCGAGGTACAAGGAGAACAGGAGAACCGTCTTCTGTGGAATCAAAGTGGAGTGAGTGACTGGGCGAAGTAGGGACGATCACAGAGTGGGTTCGCAAGTGCGAAAGAAGTTGTTACGCTGATGTGATAGGAATGAAGCAGAGCTGTTCGGGGGTTCAAAGGGAAATGGCGTGATAGTGTAGGCTTGCCCTTGTTGCGTGCGCTAGCAGTGTTGCCACACACGAGTCTCCATGTCTCCAGCAGCATCGGTGCATTGGTGCATTGGTGCAGTGGTGTGTGCCATGGCTGCTGCCCACTGACGAAAACCGGACGCAAGTTTTCACTACCTGCGTGCACCAGAGCAGCCAGGTGAACGCTCTGGGCGCGAGCGTCCTAGTCCTCCTGCTTGCTTGCAGTCACTTGCACTTGGAGCCTTCCTTGCGTTCCGCACACGGGGGATGACATGACGCATCTTCTGCACCACTGTTGCACACATGTGATGCAAGCAACTAACCGCACGACGTCATGGCGTGCGCAGATCGTCACGATGGGTTGTAGGAAGAGACCAGATTTGAATTCCGACAGCATATTTTGCATAGTGCGTTTCTCTTCTTCTTTTGGTCCTTTTTTTTTTTTGCGCGCGGACCACTGAAGCAAGCACGACGGCGATGAGCAGCAGCGTGTTGTTTCGATCCGATGGTAGCTCCGCTGCGCTGCCAGGCAGCTCCACTGCACGCACAAACCCGCTCGGCCCAAACACTGTCAGTGTGCATGCATGTGTGTGCGTGTGTGCATGTGTGTGTGTGTGTGTGATGAAGATCGACCACACTCCTGCTTACATGCTGCTGAGATTTGAGGGGCGTGCCGCGGGATTGCCTGACTGTTGTGTGCATGCTCGCTCATCTACATCTGCGCGGCTTCAACACCTTGCATGTCACATCATGCTGCACACACACACACACACACACACACACACACACACACACACGCACACACACACACACACTCTCTCTCACTCTCACTCTCTCACTCACACACTCTCTTTTTCTGATAGAGACAAGACGTGGACGTGATTGTCGTTGGTGGTGGGATCTCTGGGCTGACTGCAGCGTATGAGTTGGAAAAGGATGGGCTGTCAGTGCTTGTGCTTGAAGCCAAGGAGCGCGTTGGCGGACGCACACTGACCACCACGATCGAGGGCCACACAGGCATCGTCGCCTGCGATGTCGGCGGACAATGGGTAAGTCACAACAGCAGCTGTGTCATGCACTGCAGCTGTTGATTCGAAAGACTGCGTTTGTGACTGCAATGATGGTCTGCTCTTCGCGATCAAACCAACCCACTGCTCAAATGCTCACGACTTGCTCACATGTACATGTTTGTGTGTGTTTGTTCATGCACATGTGCGTGCGTGTGTGTGTGTGCACGTGGGTGCGTATTCTTGTGCTTGTGCATGGACGTGTGCGCCGTATTGTGACAGATCTCCCATTCGCAGCCAAACGCGCTTGCGTTGGTGAAAGAGCTGGGAATTGAGTACTATCCCCAGTACCACAAAGGTCGCAACCTCATGCAGCTGAAAGACAGCAGACCAGCATCCTATGAAGGCAACATCCCGTTCTGCCTCGGCGTGCTGACGTCCATTAGCCTCGGCGCTCTCATGGCCTGGTTTGAGTACTTGATTGGACAGCCACTTCCAGACTCAACTGTGCGTGTGTGTGATGTGCGTGCGTGTGTGTTTGTCTGTGCGAGTGCATGTGTATGTGTGATGTGTGTGTGTGTGATGCGCGTGCGTGTGTGTTTGTGTGCGTGTGTGTGCGTGTGCGCACGCTGACACATGCCTGTTTCCTTTCAACACGAATCACTGTGCTGATATTCAACCTTCGTTCAATGCGCGTTTGCCAATGCGTTAGGAGCGCGATCCTCACGTGTTTGATCGCATGTCCATCGGCCAAGTTGCCCGGCATTATTCTCTGAGCGACAACGTCAGCCAAGCCTTTCGCATGATGACTCGCGTAAGCGCAACTGCGTATGTGTGTGTGTGCATGTACGTGTGTTCTGCTCTGTGTGTGTGTGTGTGTTCTGCTCTGTGTGTGTGTGTGTGTGTGTGCGTGTGTGTGTGTGAGGGGGGGGGGTTTCCGGAGTGTATCATCCTTGTTGTGTTTTCTGCTGTGTGCTGTTCCGTGCGTGGTTCCCGTGTGACAGCGTGAACAACCACGTCATGTTGCCTTCAACCCGCTGTGTGCACGCTTGCTGCTGGTCCAAAGGTTGTGTTTGGCTCCGAGCCCGAGCGCGTGTCCATGATGTACTTCCTGCACTACGCAAAGTGTGCCGGCACGCTCGACCGCCTGCTCGATGCCGGCGAGAACGGTGGCCAGGAGCTTCGCCTCGCTGGTGGCGCGCAGCAAATCTCCACAAAACTTGCTCAAGTGCGTGTGCGTGCATGTGCGTGCATGTACGTGCGTGTGCGTGCATGTATGTGTGTGTATGTGTGTGTGTGTTGTAGTCGTAGTGATCACTAGAGTTTTTGCCACATTGATGGCATCAATCTCACGCGCGAGCACCTCCGCCCCAACACACACACACACACACACACACACACACACACACACACACACACACACACACACACACACACACACACACACACACACACACACACACACACACCAGGCTGCCAGCAGTGATGGCGTGCTGTGCTGTGTCCTTGACTGCACATTCCCCAACGATGAAGCTTACGGGCTCGTGGGTTTCATTGGTGAGTAGCTGCTGCATGCATGAGTAAGTGTATGTTACATTGAGGCGTTCCATCTCTTGGAATGCGTGTCCACGAATCCATCCCCCCACGCAAGTGCTGATGTGATGTGTGACTTGGCTTGTTTGTTGGGGTTGCTTGGTGTTGCTTGGTGCCAGGCGGAGATGATGCCGTGTACTGGAGCGCGCGAACGCAGGCTGAGCGCCGAGCTGCAGTTGTTGCTGCTCTGGTGTCCATGTTTGGGCCGGAAGCCGACTCGTTCATCTCTTACATTGACAAGGATTGGAGCGAGGAGCCGTACAACGGCGGCTGCCCCGTGGCCGCCATGCCACCAGGTGCTGTGTGTCGTGTGGTTCTGGGTGACAACGTGACGCACACGTGACGGGGGGAGGGGGGTTGAACCTTGTGCGTGTGTATGTTTGTGCACATGCTCATGCACACATGTACTACGACACACACACACACACACACACACACACACACACACACACACACACACACACACACACACACACACACACACACACACACACACACACACACACACACACACACACACAAACATCGCGAATGAACTGCCCCGCGTGTGTTTGCCCTCGTGCAGGTGTGTGGACCATGTGGGGTGGACGGCTGAGCGATCCAGAGGGGCGCGTGCACTTTGCAGGCACGGAGACAGCCACGCAATGGTGTGGCTACATGGACGGTGCCGTGCAAGCAGGCCACCGCGCTGCTCGCGAAGCGCGCAACGCCCTCAAGAACAACAACGGCACCAGCAACAGCAATAGCAGCAACACTCCTGCCGCCAAGGCTCCCAACGCAGCCGTTGCCACCTTTTCTTCTCACCCATCATCGTTCCCTTCGCGCTCCTCGTCCTCCTCCACCTCCGCCTCGTCCCTCTGCTCAGTGCTGCTCACAGCGTGCGCTGCCGCCCTTCTCGTGCGTTCGCTCACCTCGCCCACCCTCAATTGATGCACGACTGACTTCAGTCTCGATAGTGGTTTCTTGTGCACAGTCATCAAAGGTCAGCACTCATTTCGTTCGAGGTGCTTCTGGTTTCTTGGCGCGCGTGCGCGACGCAAGGGGCCCAACCAGAACCATCAAGAAGCAACATGACGCTCATGTTGCACAGTCACACCTCCTGCCACTGATGTGCATGTTGACTGTGAGTGATTGTGTTTTGTGGGTGTGATTGCTTCGGTGCTTCTTCTTCTTTCCCTCAGCTTCGTTGTGTGCTTTTCTCTTTAGTTTCTTTCCCTCTCTTCCTTTCTCTGCGCCAATCTGCTGGTCGGTCCGTGAGCGAGCGTTCATTTTTTCATCGTCGCATGATTTAGCACAAGCTACAGAACCACGGTCAAAGCAAGCCAGAAAAGCAAGCCAGAGCACTTGTCTCTCAACAAGCAAGCAAGAGAAGCAAGCCAAGAAGAAGTTCCTATCGTCGACCAGCCGACTTCGTTTCTTTCTCTCCTTCTCTCAGGACATCTTCACAACCACTCGAGACGCAAAGAAGATGCCAGCCATCGGAATTGATCTGGGCACGACGTACTCGTGCGTCGGCGTGTTCCAGCACGGCAAGGTTGAAATTATCGCCAACGACCAGGGCAACCGCACCACGCCCAGCTATATTGCCTTCACGGACTCTGAGCGCCTGATTGGCGACCCAGCCAAGAACCAGGTGGCCATGAACCCAAGCAACACCGTCTTCGACGCCAAGCGCCTCATCGGCCGCAAGTTCAACGAGTCAGCGGTGCAGAGCGACATGAAGCACTGGCCCTTCACCGTCGTCGAGGTCGAAGGCCGCCCCAAGATCCAGGTCGAGTACATGGGCGAGACAAAGCAGTTCTTCCCCGAGGAGATCTCCTCCATGGTCCTCGTCAAAATGAAGGAGATTGCAGAAGCCTACCTCGGCTCCGACATCAAGGACGTCGTCGTTACCGTCCCCGCCTACTTCAACGACTCCCAGCGCCAGGCCACCAAGGACGCAGGCACCATTGCCGGCCTCAACGTCCTCCGCATCATCAACGAGCCCACGGCCGCCGCCATCGCCTACGGTCTCGACAAGAAGGGCCAGAAGGAGGCCCACGTCCTCATCTTCGATCTCGGTGGCGGCACCTTCGATGTGTCCGTCCTGTCCATCGACGACGGCATCTTCGAGGTCAAGTCCACTGCCGGTGACACCCACCTTGGCGGCGAGGACTTTGACAACCGCATGGTCAACCACTTTGTGACCGAGTTCAAGCGCAAGCACAAGAAGGACCTCACCTCCAACAAGCGCGCCCTGCGCCGTCTCCGCACCGCCTGCGAGCGCGCCAAGCGCACCCTCTCGGCCTCCACCCAGGCCAACATTGAGATTGACTCGCTCTTCGAGGGCGTCGACTTCTACACATCCATCACCCGCGCCCGCTTCGAGGACCTGTGCGCCGACCTCTTCCGCGGCACCCTCGAGCCCGTCGAGAAGGCTCTGCGCGACGCCAAGCTCGGCAAGGGCGAGATTGACGAAGTCGTCCTCGTTGGCGGCTCCACCCGCATCCCCAAGATCCAGAAGCTGCTGCAGGACTTCTTCAACGGCAAGGACCTGAACAAGAGCATCAACCCCGACGAGGCCGTCGCCTACGGTGCCGCCGTCCAGGCCGCCATCCTCTCCGGCGACAAGTCCGAGGAGGTGCAGGACCTCCTCCTGCTCGATGTCGCCCCGCTCTCCCTCGGCCTGGAGACGGCCGGCGGTGTCATGACGCCGCTCATCAAGCGCAACACCACCATCCCCACCAAGACCTCCCAGACCTTCACCACCTACTCCGACAACCAGCCCGGTGTGCTGATCCAGGTGTACGAGGGCGAACGCACCATGACCAAGGACAACAACCTCCTCGGCAAGTTTGAGCTGTCCGGCATTGCCCCCGCCCCACGCGGCGTGCCCCAGATTGAGGTCACCTTCGACATTGACGCCAACGGCATCCTGAACGTGTCTGCGCAGGACAAGGCCTCTGGCAAGTCGAACAAGATCACCATCACCAACGACAAGGGCCGCCTGTCCAAGGACGAGATTGAGCGCATGGTGCAGGAGGCCGAGAAGTACAAGGCCCAGGATGAGGCCATGAAGGAGAAGGTCAACGCCAAAAACGGCCTCGAGTCGTACGCCTTCAACCTCAAGTCCACCGTCGACGAGGACAAGCTCAAGGACAAGATCAGCGACGACGACAAGAACACCATCAAGTCCAAGTGCGACGAGGTCCTCGCCTGGATCGACGCCAACCCGTCTGCGGAGAAGGACGAGATTGAGCACCAGCAGAAGGAGCTCGAGGGCGTTGCCAACCCCATCATGAGCAAGCTGTATGCCGAGGGTGGTGCTCCTGGCGGCGGTATGCCTGGTGGCATGCCCAACCAGGGTGGCCCACCACCTTCCACGGACCAGACCTCTGGCCCCACCATCGACGAGGTCGACTAAACGAAACGAAACCGGCCAGCCAGCCCTTGTGGTTTTGGTTGCTCACCCGTGCATGTCATGCCCACATCGCTCTTGGTTCCTTTTCTATTCGTGCCCTTAATCGCTTCTCTGTTTGCATATGGCTGGGGTCTCAGCCTTGTGGCCCCATTGCCTACCGTCACATTCACTGCCGACTCTTACGTTTCCATCTTCCTCTATTCCCTGCATTGCTGCTGCGTGGCATCTGCTCTCTTACCCCATCCGTGAGTGTATTTCCTTTGTGTGAGTAGGGTATTGTGGATGGGTGGGTGTATGTTCTTATGTTGTGTGTGTGCGTGTCTGTTGAGCCTAATATATAAGTCCTCGAAGTTATGTGTGTGACATGACAATTTCGTGTGTGTGGGTCTTTTCTTCGGTGTTTGCTGTGGTCCTTTGGTTACTTGGCCGGATTGATTCCGGAGCTGAGGCTGGTTGCAGCCAAGAAAAGAAGAAACAATACACATACACACATACACAAGACAACAGCAACACACAACAGCAACACGACACACCTACACACACACACACAGCACACACACAAGAGCACACACACACACACACACAACACAGAGCACTGAAGAAGGACAAGGGTGTGGTGGGCGCCGTTACTGAATTTTAGCTGAAAATTTCCATAAATCCTCTACAACCACCACCACCAAACAACAAGAAGATGCAAACCAGCAAAGAAAGCAAGGCAAGCCATCGACAAGCCAAGCAGGACCTCATCATGTGACTTTCGGCTTGACATGAGTGCAACACGAAAAGCCATGCCCCCAACAAAAGGTGCGAGCTCATGTCAGGTGCTAGTGGGTGCAGAGGTTACAATTTGCATGTCGAGGTGTGGCGTGACGTTGTGATGTGACGTCTTTCATTGCAATGCTGTGTCATGTCCTCCGACATCCAAGTGGAATGTAACACAAGACACTTTCACACCACAACACCACTTCTCCTGTCGACAGGACACGCCGCACGTGTGTGGTGCGCGTACCATCGTGTGCCAGCCAGCGGGCGTCCGGGTTTCCAAAAGTTGGGAGGGAAGGGAAGCACTACATCCCTTAGACTGAGCTGACGTCTCTTGGCTGGCACTCATCCGACCCAATCCGAGCAACTAGGTGTGGTTGTTGCGACATTGGGCGTCAACAAAACCGCTGGCTTTGTGCTCATTGCGTGCTGGCAGTGAGGCTCTGGATGGCCAAGCTGCGAACGAACAACAAGCAGACACGTACCACCAAAACGGCGGACACTCGCAACAATGTGACTCGCGCACGCCCACGCAGTACCCAGCACGCGCCTTTTTTTTTTTCCTCGTCTTTTTCATCTTTTTCGCTTCTTCTGCATTCCTGCTGTCATTTCCTTGGCAGTAGCACTCCCCTTTGGTGGCATTGCTTCATCCAGCTGTTGTTTTGTGTGTGCATGTGCATGTGTGTGTTGGCCATTTTCGCACACCCCCTCTCCTTCACATACACACCCACACGCACACACACATTCTCTCTTGTTCATCCTCTTCGTCTGTCTGCCCCCCCCCTTCTCTCTCTTCCCCCTCTCTCCCTCTCTTCGGAGCGTGGTTCACCGCTTTTCGGCTTCTACCCATCCTTATTTCCTCTTTCCCAACAGCCAGTTTCCCAGCTCCCTCCTTCCCCTCCAAGCAAGCAGTCGCGAATTGCAACCGCTACCACCACCACCACCACCACCACCACCACCACCACCACCACCACTACCAGCAGCAGCACCTACAGCACGACCAGCTCAGCCCTAGTGATGGACAGTGTGACTGCTCACGTGCTGTCCGTGGTGGCCACGCACCTCATGCAGCATGGCCAGCACCCGCGCCCGACAGCCACGCAGCGGTCCACGGTCATGGTGGAGCATGCCAAGACCATCCTGCGCCTCTTTCTCACCTGCCGGTGGGCGTATGATGACCTGCCCCACTCCCTGCCCAAGTGGTGTCTCAAGGAAGCGTTCCAGGCACCGGGCGTGGGCTGGATAGCGCCCGCCAGCAGCAACGACGCCGCCGAGCGCACCTGGCTTGAATCCCGGTTCTGCGTGCTCTCCCGTCTTGGCGTGCTGTGGACGTGCGACCTGGAGCAGCTGCATCTGCCGCCGTCACCGCCACGGGCGTTCCTGGATGCGTTTGCCCGCAACGGCCGCGTGTGCTTCTCCGGCGTCTCTGATATGGTAGTATGGCTTGGCCCTGCAGACATGCACACCATGGCCTGTGCCCTGCGCACCCACACCAACAGCGACAGCAGTGATGATGATGATGATGATGATGATGATGATGATGATGATGATGATGATGATGATGATGATGATGGTGCTGATGATGATGATGATGATGATGATGATGATGATGATGATGATGATGATGATGATGATGATGATGATGATGATGATGATGATGGCAACAGCACCAGCAGCTGGATGGACGCGAGTGGCAAGCGTGGCTGCGACAGTGACAACGACATCACTACCGTCACCGCAACCGAATACGCTCGCATGGCAACAGCAGCCACTGCCAGCAGCACCACCACCCACACCAGCGACATTATCGCCGCCCACCCCACGACCATCCACACCAGCGGCATCAGCGACATGACCGCCGCCCACCCCACGACCATCCACACCAGCGACATCAGCGACATTATCGCCGCCCACCCCACGACCATCCACACCAGCGGCATCAGCGACATGACCGCCGCCCACCCCACGACCATCCACACCAGCGACATCAGCGACATGACCGCCGCCCACCCCACGACCATCCACACCATCCACATCAGCGACATTATCGCCGCCCACCCCACGACCATCCACACCAGCGTCATTGTAACACCATACTTGCCACATTGTGAAGCTGGCTGTTCCGTAGGGGTAACCTACTTTATGGTTCTCGACATCCAGCCCTCATTAGGAACTTATCGGTCATGTGAGACTATCTAAACAAAATCCCCCCTGCAGAGGGTCGAGATGTTATATGGTATCGTGTAGTCGAAGGCCTATCTTCACTGGCCTGGGATTTTAACGAGCCCATAGCCGTGAGGGAGGTAAGGCGTGAGAACCCGGACGCATGCTTCCGACGTTTCACTATTTGAATGAGGTTGTGAATTAGGGGCCTCACAGGGCTATCGTTCCTGATAAGTAATTACACGGATCCCCTCCCTGATCTACTCTATCGGTGCGAGCTCTACCGATAAGATTCGCGCACACACGCCACGTCCACGTATATGACGAAACTCGGGTGTGATCGTGAAGGCATCTTCGTAGGAGGTGCCAACTGCGACTCGTATTCAATATATATCCGAAAGTACTTGGTAGTTTTCTAGCGACGAACCCAAATAGATGTTCCACGACCATCCACACCAGCGGCATCAGCGACATGACCGCCGCCCACCCCACGACCATCCACACCAGCGACATCAGCGACATTATCGCCGCCCACCCCACCAGCGACATCATCGCCGCCCACCCTACCATCCACACCAGCGACATTATCGCCGCCCACCCTACCATCCACACCAGCGACATCAGCGACATTATCGCCGCCCACCCTACCATCCACACCAGCGACATCAGCGACATTATCGCCGCCCATCCCACCATCCACACCAGCGACATTATCGCCGCCCATCCCACCATCCACACCAGCGACATCAGCGACATTATCGCCGCCCACCCCACCAGCGACATTATCGCCGCCCATCCCACCAGCGACACCAGTGGCATTATCGCCGCCCATCCCACCATCCACACCAGCGGCATCAGCGGCATCAGCGACATGACCGCCCCCCGCTCCACGGCCATCAACGACAACAGCCGCCGCCACACAATGAAGATGGGCGAGTGCTGCATTCGGGAGTGCGAGTGCAGCGGTGACGAGGACGTGCGGGTGCTTGAAGCAGCACTGGAGGTGCTTGGATGTCCCGCCATTGACTACCTGTGCATCTACCCGCGCGCCAGGCTTGAGCGGCTGCGGCTTGCACGCGTACGTCGCCTGTGCATCATGGGGAATGGACGGATTGACTGCCTGGAGCTGACCGATGTGGAGGACGTGCATTGGCACATGTCGCCACAGCAAACCAGCATCGCGGGCACGCTGACACGCGTGCAGGGCATTTTTCTTTCGGACTTCTACGACGACGGCAACAGCAGCGGCAACAACAGCAGCGTGCGCACGCATGCGCTTGGCATTGGTGCGCTGGCTGGCGTGGAGCGGTTGACTATCCGGGATGTTCGCCTGCTGGCCTCCGTGGCGCCGCTGAAGAATGCGCAGGAAGTGACGCTGCATGGCGTGAAAATCGACGACATCGGCGCCCTGCGCAACGCGAACAAGCTGCGCATTATCGATTGCAACGTGGTTCATGGCGCCGGCGGCTCTGCAGACAGCACCCTCACCTTCCACGCCACGCGCTTTGTGCTGGGCAACGTGGCTGGGTTGCGAGGTCATGTGAACCTGCCCAACGCCATGCATGTTGAGCTGCGGTTCTGCGACGCGGTGACGCAGGTCACGTGCGGTGCTGACACGCGTGATCGCCTGCGGGCGCGCGGCTGCGAGGAGCTGTCTGTGCCGGCGATTCCTGCTGCCGTGCTCGTGCAGCAGGTGGAGGTCAGCGACTGCCACGCGCTCGCCCGGTTCGACATTGCCAACGCCACCGTGGGCACCGTGCAGCTGAGCAACTGCAGGGCCCTCGCTGCCGTGCGCATGTGCGACCTGCACCGCGCCGGCGTCATACGCGTGGTGGAGTGCCACTTGCTCCACTCGCTGGACATACGCGCTGTGCACCAGGTGGCGGGGCTTAACGTGAGCAACTGCCCCGCTCTCCACCGCGTCTCGCTCAAGGCAGACGAGTGCGGCACGATGGAGGTGGCCAGGTCTGCAACACTCGGGACGGTCGGCTTCTTCGGCAGACAGCTTGACAGGCTGGAAGTGCAGGCGTGCGCGGTGACGGAGGTGGAGGTGGCGGTGACAGGAGGCGTGAACAGCGTCAACCTGAGCGACTGTCCTGAGCTCTTCTCGCTGCGGTGCACGCGCGCCCCGGCCACGCGCTTGCGCCTGGTCAACCTGCCGCGGCTGTACAATGTGCACATCCCACTGCTTGATGGCGACCCTGATGGTGGTGATACTCATGGTGGCGACGCTGATGGTGGTGCTGATGGTCTCCACCGGGGTGTCCAGTTGCGGTGCGCGTCCACCAGTAGCGGCGATGGTGACAACGGGGACAACCATGATGATGATGATGATGATGATGATGATGATGATGATGATGATGATGATGATGATGATGATGATGATGCTGCTGGCGGTGAAGATGGTGGCAATCCCGATGCCGCTGCTGACGGTGACACTCTTACCACCATCACCACAGCGCTGCCGAGTGCCCGCATCGACGTGTGTGTGCTGGACGTTGAGCTGCCGCCCGCGGCGCTGCGTGCGCTGGGTGGGCGCTGTCGCCTGCTGGAGCTGCACGGGCGCGCATCAGCCGCGTATGCGCGGGACCCGCAGCCGATTCCCGAGAAGACGGAGGTGATGCTGTTCGACCTGCCCTCCGACTCACTGTCGGCTGCGCTGCCGCCCGCCGTGAGGCTGTGCCACGTAATGGTGGGGGAGCAGCATGCATCCAGCGTATTTGATGCATCGCCACTGGCGCACGTGGCCGAGGTGCACATCCGCAGCAGCAGCCGCGGCAGCAGCAGCAGCACGACAGAGCCGCCTAGTGTGCGGGGGCTGTGCAGCCTGCAGCGGACGAAGAGGATGCAGTTGAAGCAGTGCCGCGTGCTGGGCGCTATCCAAAGTGCAGTGAAGCTCAGCGTGACGTTGAAAGACTGCACTGGTGTGGCCTCCGTGGCAGGTGCACGCCTCGTGTGCGTGGACGGCCCGCGCATGCCGAGCCTTGGGCTGTGGGACGTGTCGGGAGTGGTGATGATGGATGTGGTGCAACGCTTTCTGCTGCACACGACGGAGGGCGTGGAGTCCATGCTTCTGAACAACTGCACGTTTGAGGGGTTTGCCGCGTTTGGCGGCGTGCGTGAGCTCTGTCTTGGCAGCTGCACGTTCACCGACGTCCCCGCAGCGCATGCCTTTGAGCGCCTGTGCATGAACAACTGCACGATAAACGCCACTGCCAGCAGCAGCAGCGACACAGCAAGCGGGGAGCGCGGGCTGCCCCTGGTCATGCACAGCCAGCGTGGAGGGACGGAGCGCAGGGCTCTGCAACAGCAGGACGAAGATGACGACGAGGGGGAGAAGGTGGTGTTTGAGGAGAACAAGAGCAAGAGGAGCAAGGCGATGTGAACGGGTGCGGGGGCTGCGGAGTTCGTGAGTGGTTGCGGATGACTTGATGATGCATGGTGGCCATCTGTTGGTGTGCGTGTGAGGCTTCTTTATTTCCCTTCTCCCCTTTTTTCTCTGTGTGTATCTCGTTGCTTCTCTGTTCACCTCTGCTTTCTCATGCTTTCGTTTTCTGGAAGACCATAGTGTGCGTTGCATGCTTCGGTTTGGGGTTCATTTGGCCTCCTCAGC